TGGACTACCGGAAAGAATAATAAGTGATAGAGGATCTTGTTTTACTTCTCACCAATTTAAGCAGTATTGTACAGATAACGGAATACATCATACTTTGAATTCTACCAAACACCCCCAAGCCAATGGTATGGTAGAGCGCGTCAACAGAACAATTTTAGGAACGATAATGACAAGTTTGATGGATAAACAACACAGAGATTGGGATTCAAAAATAAAAGAGACAGAAAGAAATCTTAACAACATGGTAAACAAAACTACGAATAAGACTCCATTTGAAATGCTACATGGGTATTTTTTCCCAGATTTAATGATGGAATACTTAGGAAGTTAGCAGATGAAGATTCAGATGCATGGAAAGACCCGCGAGAAATCCAAGAGCAAGCGCGAGGAAGAATTGAGGAACAGCAAGTGAAAATGAAAAAGAGATTCGATGGGAAGAGGATGTCGTACACTAATATTCGAGCAAGGAGAAATAGTTGTGATGAGATGTGCTCCTAAGGCTACAGGTCAACCTACCAAAACACAGCCGAAATATCGAGGGCCATTTATAATAACGGAAGTATTACCTAGCGATACCTACAGAATAACTCAACTGGAAGCGAAGAATGGAGGTCGATACTTCACTACCACTGCTCATGTGAGCCAGCTGAAGCCATGGAGGTGCGATCCCAGCTCTGACGATGATGATGACGACGGCGACGATGAAGATTCTGACCAGTTATCAAGCTTAATTCCTCGACGGAATCCAATCAGATCTGTTCGTAAGGACTGATGGAAGTGCTCTAGCCTGTGATTAAGGTGAGATCTTTCCTTTTTGTGTGTGTGTGTGCTTATCTACGTATGTTTCCTGATAGAAAACTTTAGAAACTTTGAACTTTTGAACATTAATTGACTTTGAACTTTTGAACATTAGCTGAAAGACTTTAGTGCATTTGTTTTGAATCATTTGAGGACTGATAAAAATTGAGTTATTTCATATATATCACGTATTTAGTAATGATTTACAGAAAATTTTTGATTATTATGCTAATGTATCAAAAATATGTGAATTTATGTATGTGAAAATATTTTAGTAAGTTTATTATCATATCAAATTTTAGTATAATATGTATTCTTTTTAGTGTATTAGTAATATGTATGTTTAGTATTGTGTATAAGAGTCGAAGTAGAAAATTGTATTAATTATAAAATTGATTTCTACTTCGAACAATAGGGACGATTGTCAGGTCAGAATGACCGAATGTTATCAGCCGATAGATGGCATTGTAGAAAAGCCGCCGATAGAGGGCGCACGATATCAATCGAGAATCGGGAAGCGAGAGAATAGGATTGATGTTAAGAATGTTCCGTAATGATATGTATATATGTATATATTCATTGTAATAATAAAGCATTTATAAAATGCAAGAGTTATCCCGATTGAATGAAAAGTGAAAGCCCGACTTATCCCTAGCCGTCCTGAGATTGATAACGGAGATTAAAGCTAACAATTGTTCTCGTGCAATGTCTTTTTTGTGTTTGTTTTCCTTCATGGTGTTGCAATTTCAATGGCCAGCAGTATAATAAGATAACTGGTTAATTAAAATAAACCTTACAGCGTAATACAATTAAGGTTACCAAGAATTTCGCAGAAGTCTTTCTCGAAACCTTACAACATGCATTTAGTATTTTATTTCTTATTAAAGAAGTAACTATAGCAAAAATATTCTCAAACTTAGAAGAAAATGCATGTTTTTGCAGAACCCAAAATTAACTTATAATCAAAATATATGCTATAATCTTAAAGGACGTGTGGAATCTGGAGAACCTACAACAAAGATTTCCATCAAAAATAATTTTAATTCGGAATTTGAATTTACTATATTTTTCTCATAGTAAACGCAATTAAATATTAGCTTTATTTAAGATTAAAATTAAGCAAAATTTTTACAGTTTGAAAATATTAAATCATCCATAAAATTTCTTAGATACAGAATATGTTTAATCGGTACACTGCGATATGGATGTGTCAAGAAGATATAATGTTATTCTTAGAAATCAGAATTTCTTTTAGTCTCTTTTAATGTTTACTACTTATGGTTTTACAGCTCTTAAAATAACAAGTGTACAATCAAATCAGATTTACTAAAATGATTTCAGAGACCTAATTTAATTTTTTCAGGAGATATTACTTATGCTAAGCTAGAAACTGCTGTTGTCATTTGAAACACTATAATAAGCATTTCAGTACTCAGATTTAAAAATTTGACGAAAACCGCTTTTAGTAGAAATACTTCTGTTCAAACATTTTTCAGAAACTGATTTCAGAATAAGTATTTTTAAAGATAAATAAAAGTTGGAATAACAAAAATACGTCTGAAGTCAGAAAATCAGGCTGTCTAACATCTATATAAACGAGAGAAAAGAAAGCAAGTTGTCTTAAGATCTAATAAAAGAATGCATGTCTCTCTAAGGTCTTAAAAAAAACCATAATGCATGTTCGGAATAGTGAATCTAGGTTATTTCAAGACAAAAGTTTTACTTACTTCAAATTATGTTTGTTAATAATTTTGGATATAATTTTATAATGCCAAGAACCAAACGCGGGATTCCACATATAAAGAAATTTAAAATGCTGTTTTGAGTATATGTTAAAGTAAACGGTATTTATAACCTTACATTTTAGCTGAAAATGTAGTGCAAGTTAATGAAAATTCTGTGGGCTTTAACAAAAAGTCGTTAAGTCAAACTTTAATATTACTGTTGATATTTAAACAAGACCTCCCAAAAAAAATTACCATCAATTCAGAAAATTTTCTGTGACGATGTTAATACCTTTGTAGTGGAAAATATGCATTCACAAATGTATGGGCACTTGAACATGGATGCAATTCTTCTGTTAAAAATATTCAATTTGAGATATGTTTAGCACAATAAGAACTTCCAGACAAAACATACTTTACACAATCTGGAGCACGACTTTTTGTCAAGGACCCTCAGTGTTCCCTTATAGCAGTTTATATGAAGGAAAAACACGTGGTTTTCAGCATTTGCATAAGACTTTGCGGACATTCTGAGCTTAGGCTACAATCACTGTCTGTTTATAAAAATCAGTTCCTGTGTCATCTCTTGAATTTAATCTATGTACATAAAAGGAAGAGTCTGTCAGCCTGTGTGTCTCGTTTGTGCTGCAATAGACCCAAGGTTACAAAATTTGGTACATAGGTGCATCTAGACAAGAGCCAGTGCACCTCGAAGCGAATTTTTCAAAATTCGAATGAGTTTTTTTTTTATTTATTTTATTTCATTTCTTGATGAAATCTCATCAAATCGATAATTCTTTCTTATTATATCAGCAACAATGGCACGCAGCCACTGTTGAATATCATTGTTGCCACTGCTGCCACTCGGAAAAATGAGGGCGATAATTCTGTGCAGTTTTTAAATTTAATGTTTCTCTTGGGTACTGGTCCTTTGTCGAGAGAAGGCAACGGGAAGTTGGTGAATTTATTTATTAGGATAACTAATATTTGTATTAAGGGATATTGCTTATGTCATTGTAATTTTTTGCATTTTTATTAAAATTTGTGTTTATGTATATATATATATATATATATATATATATGTTTGTATGATCTTAAATTCATTTATTGCGAAATTCAGTTATTGCGTATTCAGTTGCTACTTGCGCAATTGCAGCATAATTAACCTTAGGAGATAATGTAATCAATTTTATTTAGTATATATATATATGAAGATAATATAATCAATTTTATTTAGTATATATATAGTTGTTTTGCAGAGTAAAATTCTGTGTCATTTTTAAATCTAATGTTTGGTGTGTTCTTTAGGCATTTTTCCAGTACATTTAAAAGCCAGACGAAAGCTGGCCGCCTAGCGGCTAGTAATACATACATAAAAGCCGTTGGAAAGCAATTTATTCTCAGAAATGGCTGACACGATTTATTCAGTCAGGTCTATCCCCTTGAGAAAGAGTTAAAAGAATGAATTTATTCATTCTTTTAACCAATTTTTATTTGTTTTTATTTTGGTTTTATTTATAAGTAAGTGTTAGCAGTATTATATTACATTATTATACTATATTATTGAATTGTTTTTGTTTCAGTGTTTTGTATTTTCATCTTGTTAGAGTATTAACCACCAAAATTTAATTTATAATTAATTACCCAACATACTGCGCTACGTGAACAAATTATAAACTTAATTTTCAAATTTTTAAATTCTTGTTTATATATACATATATACACTGTTTTAATAATAAGTAACTGCAGCAAAATTTAAAGTTATCTCTTTTAGATGAAGAAGTGGACAGCTACGGTAAAATTCAATCGTAAAAATTCAACCTTAGATTTGATTTAAAGGAAAACTGTCGCGACAGAACTTGTTTAAAACAATTTTCAGTGTCAGGGTAAATTTTTCTTTATTTAATTTTGATGTCCACAGTCTTCTCTTGCACGTATTGCTGCTGCTTATTTAGATTTTGCATCGACGTTTTTAGCCCTTGATTCATGTACGCAGTAACATGCCTTATCCACTTTGCTACCGAGTGAACAAAATGTTATCAATTTTGCCAATGCTATTGCTAAGCTTTCCGGAGCAAAAACCATAAAATCATTATAGTTAAGGTGAAAAGTATTAGACTGCGTTGTTAATCAATACGCTAGATATTAGCAAATAAATCTCCACCTTTCAGTCAAAATGTTCTGCTAAACTTTAAAGCAAGTTTCTATTTTGGCATTTTACTGCTGTTCTGTATTTAGTCCTGTATGGCTAAAACTTTCCCTGAGAAGTATTTTGCATTCATTTATTCACAATATTATATTTTCATTTAATGTTTCTCTTCAATTTTGTATATGCCTTGATTTGTATGTGATTGTATGTAAATGAATATGGAATCTTTACGGGAAAAATATAATATTATAAAACAATAAAAGAATAAATTATGCATTCAGAAGTTTATTTTAACTCTACTTACTATTGAAAACCACTATTTCGCTTACTTGATTATGTTATTTTCTTCGCAGTTAGGCGTAGATCGGCAAGCAAAACCTGTATTTAAACTAGTGTCCACTATTTCCACTTCCTTTATTTTATAGCTGTTCAAAAAATCTTTTGGAAGAACAGACTGTTGTCCTGGAGAACCCCTCCAATAAGAGTCATAAAGAAGGAACTTTTCAATTTCCACATGTCTCAGACGTGTCTCAATATTAGAAAATGAAGCCGGTGTCCCTATGTTGTAACATAGGATGATTAATTCATATTTCCTCTTCCCCAGCTGTTTCTCTATGCAAATACAAGGATGTATTTCTTTTCTTGGAGGACACTGTGATACCACAGTTGCACAGACAATGAAAATATTGCATAACAATAAAATCAGCTTCATTGTCACTGTAAAGAAATCGATAGAAATGTATTAGTATTTTATTTGTAGCAACATCAGTTCTTAAAACGAGTGTTACAAATCAAATAACTTGATCACTTTTAGCAAAGTGTAAGAAAAGCAACAGCTTTCATTATTTTATTTTATTGTTAGCCACAGAAGTGTGGTTTAGTTTTGTGCAGTTTCATAAAGGCTTCAACACAAAATTCCAAATTATATGTTATTCTCTTTCATATTACAAAATAGTATATTATTTTTATAATACCTCATTTTTCAAATATTAGGTTATTTTGTTCATAAAGTTTATTTTATTGAACACTTTTTTATGTTAATTCTTATCTGTACCTTATATTTCTTCCATTAGTCGTTTTAAGATGAGACAAATTATCCTGAATTTAAAGAGTAATGAATTTGTAATTTAAAAAGAGAGTTAGGCCCCAACCTACCAATAAAACTGTTTCCTCTGAGATTCCCACCTATGATCGACCTGCGTATGCAGCAAGTGACTTTGTTAGCGAGTAGGTTGGAATTCCCATTAGCTGAAACCGAATCAGTTTCGTCGGGAAAATTAGCTCGCACTTTATTTATTAGAATAGCTGAGTTACCATGCACTCCTATGATACCGGTGCCTAGTATTTGCTAGTTTTTGATTGCGTTACAAGGCGTAGCTTTTTAATAAACCTTTGAATTAAGTTTTATCTCTTACCTGTGCTCTTAAATTTCAGACGTCTATTAAGTGCGAAAACAAAACTTTCCTGCAGCAAGAAAATGTTAAGAATCCAATTCTGCTTTAAGCGGAAAAGTCTAAGGAAAACAATTTTTATTTGGGGCATAATAGTATAGCAAGGCCGGCGCCAGAGCGTATGCAGTCGGAAGTAGAATGTTGTAGAATTTAGGGACGACCAAAAGTCTAGAATTTTGGAAGGAACCGGTCGGCATAATTTTGAAGTTTCAGAATTTGAACTGGGTGGCAAAATGTGTAGCGCCGACCATGCTTAGGAGAATGAAGCGCCTCTCCACTGCGAGTAATAAGTCACGTAACTGAATGTATTAGATTTTTATTTTGTTTCCAAGCTGAATGTGCTTAGAATTAAAACCGAATTTAGAATTTAAAATTAAATTCGTATCTTCGGGGGACATTTAGAAATTAGCTCTAAAAGTGAAAGTAACTTTTACTGAAACTTGTGCTCATATGAATTTATTAAGATTGCCGAAAGTCAATAAATCGTAAAATTCATGATTTTATTTATTAATAATAACTGAGTTATTTTTGGTAGCCCATATGTAATGTCACATAATTCAGATATGACCAAAACGAAAACCGCTCGGCCACTGGTGGGCTAAAATAGCTAAGGATCGTGTGACTTTATTATTTTTCTCCAACGCTTCGGAAGATGTTATGTTGAAGCCATTGCTGGTAGACTGAACATTAAACCCACGTTCAAGGAAAGCTGTAGATATCTTAAAACATCTTATCCACTGGAAGGCAAACAAAAAGGCGAGAGTAATTTTGTTATCTTTGCAGAATGGTTCATCAAATGGTTCGTCCTAAAAGTATGATGTTTTATGAATGTGAAAGGTCTCAAATTCAAAGTTCTTCTTATTCTTGACAATGTACTAGGTCATCCTGTCTTGGAAACACTTATTTCTGCTAATACTACATCTTTGTTACAACCTCTAGACCAACTGAATTAAAACTAGCAGCTTTGAATGCGTCTTAGAAAGCGTTTTGGGCCACAAGATGTACAAAGCAAAAATCCCATCATCTTTAATACGACCAAATTTCCCAGCATTATTACAATGGCACACATAGTTGGTGGAAAACGGTTCGATGACCGATCTTGGAAGATATTGATGAACTGCTAGCCGACAAAGCTCTAAGCGAAGATGAAACATTAGAAGTTTCCCTTGAGAATCCTTATCTCACAGAATGTGGTGATAATGAAGAAAATGATCCAGTTCGAAATGCAGATTTAATAAAAGAAGGTCTGGAATTGACCGGAAAATCGAGTAATCATCTTATCAAACATTACCCCAATCAGAAACGAGCTTGAAAATTTCAATGTGATATAAAAAGAATTATATAACGCCTAGCTAAAACACGGACACAACGATAAATAACTGAATTCTTTGGGAACCTGGTGAAACGTCAGGACCAGGAAGTTTCGTGCTAATTTTCGCCAAGAGTTCGTAGATGGAATTTCATTAATAAATAAAATAGACGATGTCTACAGCATTTCTACTTGCCGTGAAAATTACTCCTTTACTTATGTATTTTTTCATAAAGAAATATTTCCATTTCAAATACAGATTTACTTTAATACATTTTCATTACATATTTACATACACGTGCATTTTGTTGAAATAAAATAATAAGCTTAAAACGAAAAAGAAGTTTAAAAGTATTTTTGTCTGATATTTTAGATCCCAAACCAATTTTTTTTCCACATACAGGAATGTATCTATAGTGTACATACGCTGTTCACACATTTTATAGGCAAGTTTCGTTGTAATTACAGAAAGATTTTATGTAAAATATTTTTGTTTTACATGTTCTATTTAATAACCCTTATTCTTCCCTATTTTTCTACATCTTAACTTCTAAGACAATAAAGCCTTTTGTATTACTGAAAGAGGTATTTTATCCTATTGCACATGTATAGCTTTCCATAGTCTAAGGAGGTTGTACGTCGACGTTTGGACAACCCGCTTTTTAAAGGTCCAAAAGCGCAAAAATACATTGGTGGCAGATCAGGAGATTTAGTAGGGATCTGACTGAAGGATACGGCCTCGATACCCGTTTCTTGTTCCATTTTTTTTCCAGGAAATTAACGGTAGATTCTGACGTGTCGCCGCCTTTGATGCAGTTCTACTGATTGATCACATTGTGTGTAAGCAGAAGCTATTTCATATTTGAAAAGTGGGTAAAAAATGTTTTTGGTAATATGTGGAGTTGATCTTAAAATTTTTTTCCACTCTCTTTATTATTTTGCCGTTATATGAAAACCCAGCAACAATCATAAATTCCGTAGAAAAACTTTCTTTAGATCCCTTGAACTATGTTTTAAGGTTCCCCCCCCTCCTCTTTGATGATAATAAATGGATTTCTCTTTATTGCACTTATTTAAATAAACCCAACAGTTGAATCTTAGTCATCTATCCTGGCAATATTTTCCATGTTTGTCATGATAAATGTTTCTCATAAAGAATTCTACTGCGCGTTCTGCATTCGACAATATGTCGTGGAGAAAGACGATGAAATTCAAATCAGCATCAATCTTTTTTTTTACAATTGACACTGAGCATTTTAATGATTTTGCAAACTTTGATTTGGCGAATTTTCTTTTAGTATTGAATATACTTTTGAAACATTCCAAACATTTCGTTTTCTCCTTGGATATGTATCTGGAACAATTTCTTTTCCCTTGAAGGTTAAATTTTGACCTTTTTTCTCTATTATTGACAGCATAACCTATTGTAGCTTTAGATATTGACAACATGGCTTTCACAGCATTTTTTAATAATTAGATACAAATAATTTTCTTCGGAAAGAACGTAAACATAGCTTCCGTCCATTTTTTCTTTAAAGCGACATTTTCCATGAAACAAAACTGTCAAGTAGCAGACGATAATTTATACTTTCAAAACTGTAGCTGCATTTAATTTTTTCCCCCAAGCAAAAGATTTTTTTTAACAGCAAAGCAAAATCTGTAAAAATTCAAAATAAAAAATATAAAAAATGAAACAAAAGTATCGGATACATAAAAATAAACCTAGTAAATTTTTTAATAAGCCGAGAACACCGAAAAAGTCAAAATGAAATAAATAAAAAACGTTTCAGTGATGAACAAAACATAAGATTTTTTAGAGGAGTCACGCTTTCAGAAACGTGGCTGCGCATGGGCAATGGCACCATAAACTCCCGAGGTTCCACACGATTAGATTATTTGGATTATGGCAAAGCACGGGTCGGACATTATCGTAAGGATATTTAAAGGGAAACTGGCTCATATTCACATTACACATAGAGAAAATTATTGAAACTCCCAGCCAGCTAGCCCATTCACCAAATTTGAAACCTGGGTCGAACTACCGGTATTCATTCATTTTACTACTCTGCCGCTGGTAGGCCGGATTAGTGGTGAAGTAATTACAAGAATTCTTTCCTGATAAGCAAGATAATCCGTCCTATTTTGTATCAAGAATTGAATAATTGAACTTGTCATTAACCCAGAGAATTTATAAAACAGACAAAAATAAGCTTATAAAGCTGTGAAAATTCATTGTAATAATTCTTTACAATTATCCAGGAAAACTAAAACTTCATATTTTACTAGATCGAGTACCGTACGAGAACATCTCAATAAAGACGTTTTCCAAACGATTGTTAGTAAATAGTGCAAAAACTCTTAGTTTATGGTAAATACTTAAAAAATAAAATATAATTTCTGATATTGTAAATTACGTTTGTGTATGCCAGAAGACTTAATTTTGTTTGGTCTACAACAATTCCCAGATGCGCAAAAAAGCATCCTCGTCAGCTGCCGTCATGCCAGCAACGTCGCCGATAAGCTAAGCTCAGCAGTAATGTTCACAAATTTCTTTACAATACGTAAAAAAAGGTACACATACCTTAAAAACCGAGTCCACTGAAGGCAATGATCCTAGTTCCAATTGAAAAATTATAAAAATGACTTTAATTATAAAAATTATTAAATAAATTATAAAATGACTTTATAATTATGACTTCTAAGTACCTTTTAAGCCGACATTTAGTGAATCATTTTAACGCATGAAAAGCATTATTGGTGACGCGAATTTTGTGACCTGGCAAAGCAGAAAATTTTGCCATTTCTCTTGCAGAAAATGTTTGTGGAAAGCCTCGTGCAGAAGTGATCTCTTGAAAGTGAAAAATACTGAGCTACATTTAAACAGTTAGATCTTAAGTACAATTCTCCTAATAATGTTAATTTAGGTACAATGCTATCAGAACAAAATTTTTTTCCCATGGTATTCCGATTTGGTACTTCTATTTTAAATATCTCACTCTAAATATGTGTTTTTAACCTTTACTTTCTGGAGAAGAATCCTTAAACTGTCTTAACTACTCATCTTAAACCTGCTTCAGAGGTTAACAGAAATATAAATACGAAGATAATTTTTTTGTATAAATTTAGTTTGCTATTTTTATTTGTCGCGCATTTTATTCTCATCGTTGAGAAATTCCGTAAATCTGAATTTATTTTGATCTATGCAATTAAGGATGTATTTAAGATTTTGAATTTGCCACACATAAATGCTGCTGCCCAGCATGTTTTTTGGTGATGGAACTCTATCCAAAACTGAAACAATAAATTCCATATAAGTCGAGAATTCGAAAAATATTCTTAATGTATGATGAAAGTAAGTTGACAACATATAAAACATGGCTATTTGGTATAAGACATGTTTACAAATCTTACATGGAAGTTAAGTGGATTTTGTAAGACGTGGATTTACATGGCTTTCAATGAAAATTTCTTCCACGCGTTTCAGATTCAAAACGATGATACCAAATAAAATTTTACTTGTCCAAGTAAGGCGATAACTCATTTTTCTGATCACTCACTATTTTGAATCAACGATTTAATCTATAGCATCCCTTAAATCAGTATGCCATTGTAAATATTAATTTAATTCATTTAATGAATTTATGCGATTGTAAATGTTAAAAATTTGCTCGTAATTATCCTCATTAACCAATAACAAATCTAAACAAATCTTCAACTGCAAATATTTTTGGAAGGATATAAGAATTCTTCCACTGCAAGCTCATATATGCCCTCGTAAGCGCATTTACCTGATACGATTCATGATTCCATTCCCGATGAGAAGATAGTCGACTTCGCCCCCTTCCTGCTTAAAAAAAGATCTGCTAATATTCTCCCTGTGGTGGACGATGACTCGTCACTACTTTGAGTTGGTCTAATGGGTCTTGTCCTCTTTTCCCAGTTACCTTTTAAGTAGAAAAACGTAAATAATTAAAACGTGCCTCAAATGCTATTCGCTGTTATGATGAAATACATGGTAGCATGTGTGCCGTTATAGTGCAATACAGCTGGCAGCTTGATGTATTACGACAAAGGGCCCTTATAGTGTAATATATCAAATTCCTCCCATCAAACTAGCAATTTGATGAATTCCCATTGTTCTATTCCCGAAGATGGCCTAGTTGATTTTTCACATTTCTTGCTCTGGAGAAAAGCCTAATATTAACAAAAAGAGAGCTCAAACTAAAATGTGAACGATAATTCTTCACCTACTGGATTTGGCCTACTAGGTTTCGTCTTCTTGTCCTAGTCACCCTTTCAGAAAGAGGAACTTAAGAAAAGCGAACATCTTACGCTTGCTTTTGGGGTGTAATTACTTCATCCAGCTGATAACTGGAAAATCCGTCATTCGATTTCCGGTAAAGACATGACTAGTTTTTCCTGTTACTCTCTCCAAAGAAATGTAACAGTCTTTACATTTTTATTTAGCAAAGAAAATCTTTTATGCAACTTAAATTGGCATTTTGTAACTTTGATTATAATATTCTTGTATCCCAATTTATCAAAACTGGAAACATATAATAAATTGATGGACTTCTAGGCACTTGCGTAAATAAATAAACTTTTACCGAAATTGACTTTTATTGGGAACATAAAATTAATTTAATTATGATAGACTTCAGCAAATTATCTGCAACAGAGTTTCATTAAGCGCTCTAGCATGTTTATGTATAAAACATGCAGCTACGTACTTCAAAGCCAAAAAGATAACCTTATCAGGTCCAATGTTCCGTCTCACCCTCTTCGGGAACATGCAAGGACCTGACTCGGAACAGAGAGCTTACTAAAGCTATGTTCAACAATTGTGGGAAGTAGACAGGATACACAAGAAGGGTATACAAAACCCTTTATTTTTCTCTATTTACAATAACTTCCGTACTTCGGAAATACACAGACCCGCTACTTGGGGTCAAAACGTAAAAGTATAAAAATAAAACTAAACTCTAATTTAACTTTAAAATAATAAACGTGGAAGATTGGCCTTATATTAACAGGAAGCCGTATGTAGTACAGAGAACTGTGAACACTACAATACGTTTAAAATTTATCAAGAGGATTAAAACCTCTGGCCTGGAAGGCAACCAGCAACTGCGTAAAACTTCTAAGGTAAGCGGCCTGCTTCGACTCACTGCTTCCTCTCTCTCGCTTGGCAAAAAGCCACAACTTAAATACTTGGCGTTCGCCAGACAAACTTTGCATAAATACTTTAACGCTTATAATTCTGGCCGGAAGTAGAAAATAAGAAGTGATAGTAAAGATTTAAAATAAAATAAACGTTAGTAAAACTTAAGATCCTTACATACTTCCCGCCAGAGTTAATTAGTTTGAAACTGAGGTCTAAAACGACCTTGTTGAAAACTTTTAGCTCTAGAATCTAACGCGAGGCCAATCTTTTACAAAACATTTTCGCTAGAAACTAGAAATTTTAAAAGAAAGAAATTTGTTTTTACAATAGCAGCTCCCAGGATACACACAATTTTTTTCATCTGTACTGCATCTAAACAGGAGCTTTTATTCAAATCTGGTTCCTTCCAGAGATCTGGAAGGAAAACTAGTTTAATGAAATGTTACACAATGAAATGGCAAGTAACATGTATAATTATATTTTCTCTTAACATTCTTATTTCATTCATGACTATTTTAATTATCTCTCCCCGTGCTCTCTGACATGTGTTGTAAAAGAACACCAAACACGAATGTGTTTCTGTCTAGGTGTTCAACACTTCCTCCTACAATCAAAACACTAACGTGTTAAAATTCAACATACAAGACCTCGTAACACACCCTAATTTTCAACTCTAAACCCTGAGGTACTATTCTGAAAGTGGCTAACTCTGAAGTGTAGCGTCAGAGAGCCTAACTACATCATTCAACCTTTAACACATATTCACCATGATTTAGTCTTTTTTACAGTCACACGAATAAAAAAATTTTTATCATTACTTTCACTTTTACCATATCACGGTATTTCTTAACATTTAAAATAACAGTTCACATTGTATATAAGAACATATTAACATGCCGTTAATTTATACATTTGAAAACATACATTAGTAGTACATTGTTAACTTCTATTCTTTTCAAAGCAAGTGCCAATTCTTTCTACATTGAAATAATACATTTCAAAAGTCTTTCAGACTAAAACTTCTTTCTTGCCAGAATGTTTTAAATAAATTTATACAATAACTTTTTACAATATTTAAGTCTTTACACAACGCTACTATACATCAACTTTAGTTTTACGCGCGAGTAATTGGAAAAACATAATACCAAAATCGGTAACAACTCATTTCTCGCCCTTTTGGCGATAAAGGTAGACCTCGCATGAGGTAAAACTTCTTGAAATCTGCCACTTGCAGTAAGAATGAAAGATTAACTTAAATTTGCAAAGTAACATAAAATTTTACTTATCTTTGTGATATTCGGCCATTCTTTTCTGGGCCCAGTCCTTAAAGGTAGAGCAGATAGTTGTTTGATTTATCCTCCTTCTTGTACGGGCTCGCCCTTCAGTGCCTTCCTCTAATGCTTTCTTTTTTCTCCAGTTTCGGTCACCCTTGAATACCTTCTTTTTCTCCTTCTGCCTGTGGTCTTGGTCGTTTGATGGCAGCTGGTCTTGGCGGAACCGGGAAACTTCTTTCGTGTTCCTGCTTGGACCTCGTTGCTGGCCGTTCAAATTTTCCTTGTAACTTTTCCTCCGCCGCTGATGGCCCTTCCGCAGTTCGGCGACATTTGCTGCGGAGAGTCCTGTCGGATGAGTAGATCTTCCGTTTTAGAGCCGGGTTATAGTTGCCGTCATTTCTCCTGGTTCTCTTTGCATACGTCGTCCTTCTCCCTTCTTCATTCTGGGGGTGTTCGTGAACTCTCTTTTCTGGACGGTGGAACGGCTTCTTTTTCTTGCTACCTTCAATTTTTCCGCGGGGAAACTTTCTTTTCACTTGCTCCTGCCTCTTAATGGCTTGCCCTTGTACTTGTCGTTTTTCCACCTCTGGAGCTTGTGCCTGCGGTGTCTGCCGTGCCGGATCCTGCAAAAGATCTGAAAATATTTGCATTTTATTACGATCATAGTAGGGTTTGATTTGATCAATGTTTGCGGAGCAGGTTTCACCATTTCTGGCTTTTAACACTACTACAGCGTGAGTTATTTTTTCTATAACATATGGTCCTTCAAATCGTGGAAAAAATTTGGCAGTTTTATCTTCTGGTGCTGAAGAAAGTGAATGCTTAATTTTTAAAACTTCATCCCCTACTTTATAAGTTACTCCCCGTCGTTTCAAGTCATAATATAGTTTTTGTTTTCTCTGTGCTACTTCAGTATTCTTCTTTGCTTCCTTAATTAGTTTTTCTATATCACCCATTTTAAATTCTGGGGCTCTTTGTTGCACATAAAATAATTTATCTAACGGCGTTATAATCTTTCTGCCTAGAAAAATAACTCAGCAGGAGTTTTGCCCGTTGTATCATGTTTTGCGGTCCTAAGGGCGAAAGCAAATTCATTGACATAGTTATCCCAGCTTTTATGAAAATTTTTAACATAACTACGGATAATTTTCACTATATTTCTATTGACCCGTTCCGCTATATTTGATTGCGGCCGATACGGGACCATTTTTAAATGACGTATGCCCAGTTTTTTGGCACATGTCTTCAAATATATTACTTACAAATTGAGGACCATTATCCGATATAACTTTTAGGGGCGCCCCGTATTTTAAAATATATTTATTTAAAATAGAATCAGTAACTAATTTCGCGGAGGCTCGTTTTAAGGGAACAATTTCGGTCCATTTACTAAAATGATCAACCATAACAAGGAGATAGCGACTTTTATTTAACTGACTTTTTGGGAAAGGGCCCAATAAATCGATGCCAATCATTTGGATGCCAATTATTTCATTTGGAAATTCGGATTTAATACTATTTAGAAACCCGGCCGGGCGGAAATTAATATAATTAACTGCTTGACATGTTGGGCAGGACTGGACATACGCCCTTGTTAACTTTTGCAGTTCAGGAAAATAGACTGCCTCGCGTACGCGTTGGATAGTTTTTTCGAATACCAGCATGAGAAGCTAAAGGGCTGTCATGGAGCTCCTGCAGGATATTTAATCTAAGACTAGCTGGGATAACAGGTCGAAATTCGTTGTTGGAATTCGTAGTTTTTGTATAAAATAATAGACCATCTATTAGTTCGTAATGGGCCGCCCTATTTCTTATCGCCACAATATCTTGGTGGCTAAAATTTTCAGGATCCTTTAAATACTCATAAATGCTTCCAAACTCAGGATCCTTACCCAGTTCGGTTATTACAGTTTCTCGGGAATTTATTGTACATGCTGTGAGCATTGCCACCTTTACAGTATTACCTTGTTCATCTATTTTAATTCTTGATAGGGCATCTGCTACGATATTTTCCTTTCCGGGGTATGCTTGATTACCAGATTATATTCTTGTAAGCTTGAGTGCCCATCTTATTAACCTTGGGGATAAGTTTTTTTCCCTGAGTACAATCTAGTTACCGCCGCATGATCAGAAGTACACTGTTATGGCGCCTTTCCAAAATAGACTCGGAACTTTTGCACTGCTAACAGAACTGCAAGTGCCTCTCTCTCGGTCGCGGAATAGTTTCTTTGTGTTTGATTTAAAGTTCGGCTAACTAAAAATGCCACGGGCTGCTGATTTTGCGAAAGTACCGCTCCTACCGCATAATCCGAAGCATCCGCTGAAATTTCTAAATTCTCATCCTTTTCAGGAAATTTCAACACAGGGGCTTGCGTTAATGCTTGTTTTAATTTTTCGAAAGCACTATTGGCTTCGGCCGTCCACGAGAATCTTGCCTTTTTCTTTTTAATTTTAACAATGGCTCAGCGATAGCTGCAAAATCTTTTATAAAGGAC